GACGCAGCCAACGAGTAAGGAGAACCTACTTTTTAGTGCAATCTGAAGCCAGCAGCTGCCTTCTACTGCGGAAAAATGCGGGAGGTCCAACGGCAAAAATGTAAGTATTTACTTCACGTAGACGCAGCTGCCCCCACCACGGCTATCTTGGCGATCAGTTCGGATGCAATTATAGCCTAGAAGAGAGAGTTCGGAGTCAGCTACTGAGGCTGATGCCCACGTCTCAGTTACTAAAACAGTATCTGGACAATGGACGAACACCAGAGTCTGAAGCAAAGGCATCTTATTAAGCAAGGATCTGGCATTTAAAACAAAAAGTTTGAAGGGAAAGGCTGTTAGTTTCTGAGGGAGGTGGGCTACATCGTCCAGTTCTGGGCTGCCCACGGAGCAAACGGTCCGGATGCAACCATCCGGTTCTGCAAAAAATTTTGTGGCATCGAAAAATTCTGACGTGGATAAAAAGGGGTAGGACTTGGGGGAGGGAATGACGGGCAGGTGAACTGGTAACCATTGTTAGCTAACTTATTTTCAGCTGGAAATCTGCGGGCCAGATACTGCAACGCATTCCCGCCGAAACTGAGAATCGGATGAGTTAACTGATTCAGTATAGACATTAGCATGAGGAATACATTGGTAGAACGGCTGTGGAGGAAATAAGTTAGGGATGGGGGACGTATTTCAATTGGAGCAACAGTTCTGTTAAACGGCGGGAAAATCGGCATATTCCGCCTAACTGCCTCGATATGAGGGCTGGGGGGCAGTTGGGAACACGCTACGCTTTGAGTTGGGGTGTTTGAGGCACTTTTAGCCGATTGCGGAGGAAAGGATTTTATAATCGTGCTTAATTTATTGGGTGTCCGAGTGGCTGAGACAGCAGTTGGATTTGCCTTTGACTTAGACACATGCTTAGGCTTACTAGGGGTTGCGGGGGGAGTCGATAGAGGCGTGTTTATACCAGGCGTGATAGTGTGTTTAAAGAGCTCAGCATTAAAATTAGTCGAATTCCCTACGCAATTAACTATGCCGTGATGTGCAGATGCCGGAGATGGTGTTGTAGAGGACTTATTCAGACTAACAGTAGGTGTCATTATTTTGGTGTTGGTTTTTGCCGATTTTAGTTTATTCAGTCTTCGCTGCAGGTGTGTGAGGTCTGGCGAAACGGAGCAGCGCCATTTACGGCAGAAGTCTCTAGTTATCTCCCTACTCGACAAGACAAAATCGACTTCTATCATGGAGAAAAGGGTAACTAGGATCGGCGCATTACGGCTAAGCGAGCGAAGTCGATTAGCTTGTGCGACACTGAAACTCAAGCCACAACTTTTTAGGAATAAATGCGCTCCCTCCATAGCGGATAAGTGGCTCGGAATGTTTTGCAGTACGAAATTATGCTTGCGTTTAAGTCTTTCCTCAGTTTCCGAACTGATTACCCCAATAAGTTTAAAAGCTTGTTCAAGCACTTTTTCAGAAGTGCTGTTTATGTCGCCATAAATCAACTGGTCGACTATTTCGCCGGCTGATGGCCTGCTACGACAAGCAGAGTCGTATTTTTGGACGACTGAAGGGTCAAGAGGTTCGACATGTACTAAAGGGATTTGTGAGTTAATCAGATCTGCAGACGGCGAAGAACATACGCTGTCACCTGCTATGTCTTCAGTCACGATTTTAGCATCCAGAGACGGTGGGGAGGCCGCAAGCTTTCGCATTTTAGCATGTGCTCTGCGAAGCATTACAGACAAGAAAAGTTTTTCGTTACAGACGAAGGATGAACACGTTGCCAACGTACGGAAAAGCGCACTAAATAGCAAGTGCTACTGTTATTTAACTACGAAAACTAGAAAGAGTTAGTAGGGAAAGGAGTCACTACAAAGGTTTTTTAACACAATACGACTATTTTGACAGACTGTCAAACAAAACTGGGAAAAATTATACCTTGTATTGAAAGGCGACTTTTAAAATGGACTCCAGTAAAAACAGGCATTAATTGCTTAAGAATATCCAGATAAATGCAAGGCTTCACTTATCTTTGAAATTGAGATGCGCGCCTTGACCTGGACCTTCCCATAGCTTCCAATTTAACCAAGAGTCTTTTATGTGACACTTTATCAAAGGCTTTACTTAGATCAAAATATATAACGACAACAGATAGATGGTCATTACGATGACAGGTAAGTAGATTGAGAAACGACAGATGACATGTTTCACAAGAGCGATCTGGTAAAAAACCATGCTGAGAAGGGCTAATAACTTGATTGGTTATGCAAAGTCGGTAATTTTTACGGCGATATTTTTTCAATGATTTTGGCGAGAGAGGGTGTTTTATGGACACCTCGATAGTTCTGTACGTCAGAACGACAGCCACACTTAAATAGAGGAATAATAATAGAAGTTTTCCAATAGGCATGACCTTTTCGCAAGTGATCATGCATTAATTCATTGTCGCCTTCCAATTGCAATTTTCGCAAAGCCAATAGTACTAGGCAGCCTTTTTGACTTTGCTAATATTAACAAGGAATTAGTAAATAACTTTACAAGCACTCTTGATTGGCACAATATTTTTTCAAATAATGACCCAAATTTTTTAACAATTTATTACAATGAGTAACAGAAGGTCTTCTCTACCTAATTCAAAGGAAGACGTTCGAATCGAGTGCCACTTCCACCGCTGTCTCACACTTTCTTAAAAACAGACGTAAAAGGCCACAGAAGCAGCTTAAAGATCCTTCTGTGAACTCATTGTCAGTTCATCTGAGAATCGTCGAAATATCTAAATTAGCTTCGAAAATGAGGCTCGCGCGAGATAGGCGTAGAGAGTCTTTAGCTATTAATGACGTGAATGCTTCTAAATCGGTTGCTCAGATCTTCCGTCAAAGATTATCAGCTAAGTCCCACCAAGTCATTCTGCCTTTGCTAAGTACCAACGACACCTTCATTACAGAGAGTCAGGCCAAGCAAACATGTTAAATTCTTTCTTTGCCAAACATTTCACCATTGCAACTGACCCAATCACTTTAATTCCTCCGCTGTCTGATGCCTCACTTAGCATCAATAATTTTTCTCCTCAACCTATTCAAAAACTGATAAACCATCTTCCTAACTCTCATTCAGTAGGCACGGACAATATCCCAAATTCTCTTTTTAAACAGCTACGGGATTTTCCTCCTCTGCTAAGCAAACTCTTTTCAGTATTCCTCATTAATGACTTCTCCCCTGACTATTGGAAAACTTCTATTTTTATTCCTGTATTTAAGTCTGACTGTCGTTCTGGCGTACATAACTATCGAGATGTCCATAAAACACCCTCTCTCGACAAAATCTTTGAAAAAAATTTACTGACTTTGCATAACCAATCAAGTTATTAGCCCTTCTAAGCATGGTTATTTACCAGATCGCTCTTGTGAAACATGTCATCTGTCGTTTCTCACTCTACTTACCTCTCATCGTAATGACCATCTATCTGTTGTCGTTATTTATTTTGATCTTAGTAAGGCCTTTGATAAAGTGTCACATA